TATTTTGTATTTATTTAGAGACGGGTCCCACTGAGCTGCTTGGCTCTTTGCTTTTGCTGAGGCTGGCTTTGAACCGCAGTCCTCCTGCCTCAGCCTCCTGAGTGGCTGGGATGATGGCCTGAGCCACTGCGCCTGCCCGGACTCTGATTCCTGATTGACATTCTGAAGGGGGCTCAGGACAGCCCTAGCTCTAGGGCCCTGTGAAGGTGCACAGCCCGTCTGGAGGGGCCTGGGCATTGTCCCTGCCTGAGGGCAGCGGGGAGAGGCCTTGGAGGCCGCAGCACGACCTCCATCTGCACCGCATTAAAGAGGTTCCCGGGCGGGGGTGGAGCAGTGGTCCTCCCAGGACTGCTGGCTCCTCCTCTGCTCCTGCAGGAGGTCCCCCCCTGCCCCCCCCCCCACCGGCTGCAGGGGCGTCTCCAGAGCCCCCCCACCCCGCCCTCTGCCTGGCCGCTCACTGCTCTCCCTGCCTCTCCCTGCACCCACGGCCCACGGCTTCCGAAGAGGACGGGCCGGGGGCCAGAGTGGGCCACTGACTGCCGGTTGCCTCCGTTTTCCGTCACTCGATACCGTTTGAGCTGGAAATTGCAGTCTGGAAGGTCGCACAGGAAACTCTGGGATCTGGGTTTTCTTTTGATAAAAATAAAAAGTAGGATCGTGGGTCCCCCAGAGCCGGGCTGGCTTCCCACCCTGACCTGCCGGTGTCCGGGTCCTGTGGGGACCGAGTGTCAGTGGCCCCAGGGGCAGACCTGAGCCCAGGACCTGGGCATGTGCGTGCAGGGGGAGCGGAGAGGGGGAGGCAGGGAAGGGCAGCGGTGTCCAGAGCCTGCCAGTAGGACCCTGGGCTGCAGCCACCGGGGACATGTGCGGGACTCTGGGGCACGCGTGGCGCCCGCAGCCTCAGGAGCAAGGGAGCTGGGACCTGCTCCTGAGTGTCGCTGGCTCTCGGCCCCGGGGCCACCTGTGGGCCCTGCAGAAGGGCCAGTGACAGGGCGTCCAGCGGCTGCAGGGCGTGGGCGGGGTGCTCCCTCCCTCTCCTGGTCCTTCTCTGCAGCGCCCCCCGCTGTCCACCGGTGGCAGGAGCCCGAGGTCGACTCCCTCTTGTCCCTAACTTGTGCCTCTGGTCCTCCGAGAGTGACCTTCCAAGTGGGCAGTGGGGCCTGGTCCCTTCCGTCCGATCCGCGCTGGTGGACACAGCCTCGCGGCCCCCGGGCAGCACAGCACCCGGCGCCGGTCCTCCTCCCGCAGCCTCCGCGGAAGTGCCTGCCCCCCACGCGCAGGCCGGACCCGCGGGGGCTCTCCCGGCAGCCGGAGCCCCCACCCCGCGCGGGCCAGTGGTCACCGGTCACCGGCGCCCAGAGGACAAAGGAGGGCGCAGTGCCCGCCGGCGCCGGCAGGGGGCGCGCGGCCCGGGCCCCACGGAGGAGGCCGCCTCGGCCCAGCGCAGCCCCGGGGCCTCTCCATCCCGGGTCGCGGGGACGCGGTGGCCGTCCAGCCCTCAGTAGCCACCCAGGGGTCTGGGTGCTGTGCCCGCGTCACTTCAGCCCCTGCTGCTGCTGTTATGTCAGGGCTGGGATCAAACCCGGGGCCTCACGCTCGTAGGCGTCGCTCTTCCACTAGTGGCCGGCCGTGGGGACAGGTCACTAACTGTCAGACTCGTGTGTGTGAGTGTGAGTGTGTGTGTGTGTGTGTAACTAAGGGGCCTCTGACCAAAGCCGGGGCGTGGCAAGTGCAGTGGCACAGCCGGTGGTCCCAGCTGCTAGGGAGGCTGAGGCAGGAGGACGGCGGGTCCCAGCAGCCTCCGCGATTCAGAAGGCCCTGAGCGTCTCCAGATGAAAAGTAAAAAGGGGGCCTGGGCCCGCCCAGAGGCAGCGCTGGCCTGGCACGCCCGAGGCTCTGGGTGCATCCTCAGCACCACAAAAATGAAAAATAAAGACGCCGTGTCCACCCACAACTAAACAAATATTAAAAAAACAAGACAAAAGGGGACTGGGAAGTGGCTCAGTGCTAAGCCCCTGGGTTCCGTGCCTAGGGCTGTGACACCACGAGGACTCTATCGCACACAGGTGCATTCGTGTGTTTGCGGCCTGTGCTGCGGTGACCTCGTGAACACACACCTGGTCTTCCTCTCAGTTCCCTGACAGAGCACGGTGGCAGGCATGGCCTTGGCTGGTCCCAGGAGCCCTTTCCACGGCACCTGAGTTCCCGAGAAGAGGTGACCTTGGAAGCAGAGGAATGGCCAGTGGCCAGTGATGGGCTCAGTAATGCCTGGGCCACAGATCAGACCAGCAGTAGAATATTATTCAGCCATGAAAAGGAATGAAGTCCTACCCAAGCCACCACCAAGATGAACCTTAAAAACACCATGAGGGGGGGCTGGGGATGTGGCTCAAGAGGTAGCGCGCTCGCCTGGCATGCGTGCGGCCCGGGTTCGATCCTCAGCACCACATACCAACAAAGATGTTGTGTCCGCCGAAAACTAAAAAATAAATATTAAAATTCTCTCTCTCTCTCCCCTCTCTCTCTTAAAAAAAAAAAAAGATTTAAAAAAAAACAACACCATGAGGGTGACGGGGACAGCCAGATGTGAAAGGTGGGGACACATGAGGGTGACGGGGACAGATGTGAAAGGTGGGGACACATGAGGGTGACGGGGACAGCCAGATGTGGAAGGTGGGACACCAGGCGGAGGACATAATTCTAGGAAACAGGCCCACTGGGCTGACCCCCACGTGCTTTCTCTTCTGAGAAGCAGTTTACCTGCCGCCCCGCCTGGCCTGGGTGGACAGGACACGTCACATTCCTCTGCAAACTGTCTCTTCTCTGCAGAAGGGCAGGCCCCGAGTCACGTCGGCAAGAGGAGCCCAAGTTACCCTGAGGGAGGGGCCTTCAGGGCCTTCAGACCAGACCCCTGCACTCAGGGAGAGAAGGGTGACCCTCCTGACCACTGTAAGAGCGTATGCATCGGGTCCAATCAGAAGCCGGGTGCCGTGGCGCAGCCCGTCATCGCAGCGACCCCGGAGGCTGAGGCAGGAGGATCTTAAGTCGTAGGCCAGCCTCAGCCATCAGGGAGGCCTGGGATCACAGGCGGGTCCACCACACCCCGCTAGGGGAAAGGGTCCTTTGGTTGAGCACACGGTCAACCCGGGGCACCGCGACTGCAGAAAGAGAAGGCTGTCCTGTCCGCTCATGGGCAGGGGGCAGGAGCTGTGAGCTGGGCCCCGCCCTGCTGGGGCTGGGGGCCGGGAACTGAGGCGCAGAGGCCGAAGCGGAAGCTGCTCGACTGCGTGGCCCACCATGGCCACTTCACAGGTCACACGCTTCCTTTGGGGGCAGTGAAGAGATTTGGAGCTTGTGACGTCATTGACCCAAGGGCCTGGCTGCTTCTGCCCAGGCGCGTCTTGAAGAGCCACTTCCACACCACAAGCACCGCTAGGGAAGGGCCTGGGGTCTCCCCTGAGGACTCTAAGGACCCTGAGGACGTTATGCCCATGTCCAGGCCTTGGGAGGTTTCAGCCTTTGCACATGTAACTAAGGATGTGTGTGTGTGTGTGCGTGTGTGTGGTCCTGCGCAATGAACCCAGGGCAGCACACATGCTGGACATGACCCCTGAGCCTCACCCCCAGCCCTTTACAAATTCATTTTGAGACAGGGTCTGGCTAGGTTGCCAAGGCTGGCCTCAAACTGGTGATCCTCCTGCCTCAGCCTCCCAAGTGGCTAGGATTATGGGCATGCACCACCCGGTCTGGCTTCAAGGTGCCCCCCCCCACAGCCTTTTCTCCAGCCACCCCTCATGTCTGGGTCCCACCAGTTTGAAGCACCAAGAGGTCACCTGGACCACACCTTGGAAGTGAGGTCCCGGAGGCCATGCCCCGCCTGCTCCTCTCCCACCCCAGGGAGGCTCAGCCCTTCACGGCAGCCCCTGCCTCCAGGCGCGGGGTCAGCTGGGCCAGGAGTGAGGTCTGACAGGAAGCTGTGACTCAGGCACACCTTGTGGTGGGCCAGGTCTGGGCAGGCGGAACTGCACCCAGCCCCAGGTGTGACTGAGCTACCAGGGAAGCAGGGCAGAGCGCCCGGGACTCGCCATTTCAAACAGTCACTCTATCGCTTTCTCCCGGGTCGGGTGACCCTGGGGGGCCATGTAAGTGACCTTTTCCATCCCCTGGGGACCCAAACCAGGGTTAAGAACCTGACAGGCTGGCCCTCCCGGGGAAGGGGCACCCAGGCCCTGGGCACGGCCCACCAAGGCCCGCTCTTGCAGGGACGAAGCTCATGTCTGGAGACGGAGACTCGGGGTGACGAAGAGGGGACCCGCAGGTCTTTAGGGCCAAGGGGAGGCCGGGGCTGCAGGTCCAGCACAGTCGGAAGTGGACTCTCTGGAGAGGCTGACTCAGGCCCCAAACATCCCCTGCCTCCCAGGAGTCGGCCGAGGGGGCTGGGCGGGGCGGCCGGGCCAGCTGGGCAGGACTGGGCAGGACGGTGACCTTCCACCAGGCTCCTCCCCGCCTGGCCACAGGCCGCAGGTCCCTCTAAACACAGGTGTCCCCAGGAGAGGCCCGAGGTTCCCACGGAAACGGGTCCCAGCCCAGAGGCCGGGGGAGGGGAGGACAACGCCCTCCAGGTGGCCGGAGCCAGGAGTCCGGCGTCACTGGCCTGGAAAGTCACCTGACGGGACTCACGGCAGTGGCCTTGCACAAGACGGTGTGGGCGGCGCCGAGTCCGGGGCTGAGACCCTCTCCAGCCTCCCGCGGACACCCCGGGCCAGGCGGTGACTTCGGGGACACGGGTGTCCCTGCGGGGCGGGGCTGGCAGGAAGCCACGGGGACGCGCGGTGGCTGGGTCCCTCTGACTCCGCGACAGGCCACTTCCCGGCGACGGTGGCGGTCGTGGGCGTGGCCTCGGGGGCGGGGCGGCGCCCGCCAATCACGGCCCGGCCAGCGCGGACTCCGCTGACCCTCGGCGGCGCGGCCGGAGGCGGTGGCGCAGGGCTGGAGCCGCTCCTCCCGGGCGCCCACTGGGGCGGCCAGCTCGGGGTGCGGAGCCGGCGGAGCGATCCGACCGTGTCCATTTGTGGCTGGATCTGGTTTCTGTCCTCCGCACACAGAGTGAGTCCTGCTCTCCCAGCCTCGTCCAAGAGGGGCCCTGGCCACACAAGCCACCTGGTGCCCCTTCTGCTGCATTGTGGGCCATCCTGAATGGGAGCCGAGCTCCTGCGCAGTGGGACTCCGTATTTGCGAAGCGCGGCCTCTGAGTTATGCAAGTGCACAACGAGGGCAACCCGACAGGATGTGCCGTTCCCACTTGTAGATTTTGGGTTGTTTTTTTTTTTGTTGTTTTGTTTTGTTTTTGGTATTGGGGATTCAACTCAGGGGCGCTCCACTACTGAGGCACATCCCCAGCCCAATTTTTGTATGTTTTTAGAGACAGGGTCTCACTGAGTCGCTTCCAGCCTCACTGAGGCTGGCTTTGAACTCGCGATCCTCCTGCCTCCACCTCCCGAGCCGCTGGGATCGCAGGCGTGTGGCCTTGCGCCCGGCCCCACTCGTCCATTTTGGCAGTGGGCGTGTTTTTTGTGTCTACCCCTCCCGCTGGGCTGCCCTGGACGCCGTCTCGGGTCCTCACCTCCAGGGAGGGCCCTGGGTGGCCGAGGGCCCTGGACTTGCACAGAGGGGCTTTGATCCTGGGCCGGCCAAGTCTGGGGGCCCAGTCCCCTCCCTCTGCCGGGCAGCAGGCTGGGGCAGGAGGAACCAGAGTGAAGATTTCCTGCCTGGCCACCCGTCCACCACGTCCTCTCCCGATGCCCCCGCCAAGCCCCCGCCCCGGGTAATCCTAGAACCTAATAGAGCCGCGGGCTGCTGGCCGGCGCCGGGGCAGGTCCTGCAGAACACAGGCCTCTTTCTTCGGCCGAGCTGATAGAGCTCCTCTGTTTTCCCGGGGACAGGTTTCTGAGGGGCCATTGTGTGTGGACAGCCACTTGCACACTTGCTTCTTTGTGGGGTCCCCTGCCTCTCTGTCCTGTGGGGTGGATTATTTTGCAGGATGACTGCCACATTCTCCTGAGGTCCCCAAATCCACATGGAGCAGTGGGGACTCCGGGAGGTGAAATGGATTCCAGGGCCCAGGTGTTGGTGGCCATGGGGACGCCTTTGCAGATCACTGGGGTCATCTGGTGTCTTGAAACTGGAAATGCCAGCTGGGACCCAGGCCTGGGACAGAAGACAGGACGGGACTCCTGCGTCCAGCGCTGGGGCAAGGGGACAGTTGTGGTTTTCCTTCCCAGGCCAGGAGAGCCCTGACCTTTCAGATTTCGGGGAATCTCCCGTCCCAGGACGGAGCCTTCTGGAGGGTTCTGGAGTGTGCAGGAAAGGTGGGCAGGGCAGAGAGTGCGGGCAGCACCGGGCACCCCCCTCCACCCACCCTGTGGCCCGAGCAGGCAGGGACACCTGGTGTAGCCATTTTGCAGAGAAGGAAATTGAGACAGAGGGTCCCAGTGGCGGGGCAGGGGGTGGCAGGGACTCCTTCTCTGCCTCCAAAGTCCTTCTTCCCCGACAGCTAAACTGAGCTGTGATTCCCACATCACCCTGTCCACCCCGGGGCCTTCAGCACCTGGACCTGGACCACAGGTGCCCGTGGTGGGTCCCAGCACAGCTGCCCGGTCTTGCAGACAGCCCTCTCCCTTCAGCCCCCGCCCTGGCTCCTGCCCTGCTCCGCGGATTTGCCTGTCCCGAGCCTCCTTTTGTATCAACACGGCGGACGGTCACCTGAGGCCTTCGGGCCTGGCCTCCCGCACCACGTGAGCTCCAGGTTCCGGCCGAGGTGGCCTGTGTCCGCCCCTGCTCACGCCCCACGGCACCTCGTGCAGGTAGACAGGGTGTCTCCGATCTGCGGATGGAGGATGGACGCTGGGCGTCTCTACGCCTGCCCTTGTGGACGGCGCTGCCACAGCCCCCACGAGCAGGTTTCCTGGGTCCTGCATTTTGGTCCTCTCTGTCCCCACTCTTCAGCCAGCGACTCAGATTCCCGCCTCCAGGCCCACTCTGCTGGTATATCCGGACCTGGGGACGCCCTCCTTCGCCCCCCCCTAGAACCCCTCTTGTCCTTCCAGCCCGAGCCCCTGCCCCCCTTCCCTTGGGCTAAAGTTCTTCTCCGCCGTGGAGACCGAGGTGCTCAGGCTGGCCGGCCTCCTGTGCTCTGTCCTCAGGATGGCTGTGTGGTGTAGGGCCACTGTTCAGCCTCTCTGAACCCTGTGCCCTCGTCTGTGATGTGGGAGTCTAGTTCTGACCCCATGGAGCTGCTGTGAGCACCGGCAGCAAGAGAGCTGCGTGTCTCCCCCCAGGGTGACGCGGGTGGAGGGGCCAGCACCTGGCGGACTGCCGCTATCTGTGGGGCCAACCTTGTCCGACAGCTGTGCGGCTGGGCCACGCCCTGGCACCGTCATGAACTACCCTTGTCCTGCCTCTCAGGAGCCAGGGACTCACTAAGTGGCCCAGGCTGCCCTGGAGCTTGTGACCTCCTGCCCAGCCTTGCTGTGGTGGGGTTTGGGAACGCCCCACTTTCCCTCTCACGTGGGGAGTGCTCCCCTGGGTGTCCCTGAGGTCACCAACACTGAGCTGTGTCCCCAACGGCACCGTGGGCCCTGTTTTTAAGGGAGCACCTGCAACCTGGGCAGTTAGTTCCCAGGAGAAAGCGCCATCCTGCAGCCTGGCTGGGCCACCGAGGGCCTGGTTCCAGGGTCCCGGGGTGGAGGGGCGAGCCCCTTCGGGGGACGGTCCCCTGGACCACCCTTGTGCTCAGGCCTGATTCCTGGGGCGGAGGGGAAGTCCCTCTCCTCCTCCCTCCCTCCTGTTCTGGGCACTGGGAGCGGATGTCTCACTTCCCACCAGGGTGACGCGGTGGCGCTGACCTCCGCACGGGCCTGGGCAAGTCCTTGGCAGGGCTGAGGCCTTCCCTCCTGGAGGCCGCTTGGCCTCTGCTCTCTCAGCAGACATCCTTCTGGGAACTGGCCCGAAGGAGATGACCCTCAAAAGGGAAACGGGGAGGCCCTGTCCAGAGGGACCTCCTGTGGCCTCTACAACAGGACACCAGGGCTCGGGGTGTGTCCGCGGCGGTCGGAGCGGATTCTTAGGGGGGGGTCTGTAGAAAGGGGACACCCTTTGTCCACAGGGACACACTCGGGGACAGTGCTGAGCCCACATGCTGACACCCAAGGGGGAGTGAAGGCCAAGGACCTCCCTGACCCCAGGCTGTCCTTCTGCTCTGCTCCACAGGAAACGCGCTGCTGTGTCCCCAGGGTCCTCCCAGTCCAGGGCTCCACGGGACCTCGGCCTCGTTGTCCAGACTGAAGCCTGACACCTGAAGACGCATTTCCATTTGGGGTGATCTGTGGGTTCTGGAGCAAAGAGAAGGAAGTGGGAAGAAGGACGGGGAGGGAGGCGGCACTGGGAGGCAGAGCCCCGGGCAGGGAGTTGGTCTTTTTCAAATCAAAAGCCTGTTGGCAGCTCCAACAGCACAGCCCCTTCCCGGGACTGAGGCAGGGTGTTTATTTATCCTCCAAGTCTTTAAAAAGTTCTTTATTTTATTGCAAAAGCAATACGCACTCGTTGTTTGAAACCAAACATCACAGAACTGTATAAACTGAGATCCCTGCCGCCCTCCCCCTCTCCGCCTTGGCTGTCTGTGGTGTTTTTTCTTTTAGATATTTTCCACTTCAAAGTCCCCCTACAAAAAAACCCCAAAACTTTTCCCCCTCTTTGTAGCTACAGGATACAGTGAAAAGTAAAATGTGTCCTGGGCACGGTGGGGCCCGCCTGTAACCCCAAGGCACTCAACAGGCTGAGGCCGAGGACCCCACGTTCCAGGCCACCTGGGCCACTCAGTGAGACCCTGTCGGGGATGTGGCTCAGCGGCAGGGCACCCCTGGGCCCGTCCCGGTACCTAACTTGGAGGCTGGATGGGCCAGCAGCCGTGGTCATATGGAAATCCTAGGCACGGGGGGCCGCCTGGGGCGCTCTGTTCCACCCCGTCCCCTTCCGTTCCATGTCATCACACAGAGGGTGGCCGTGGTGACTCAGCCCAGGGACCTTGTGCCCCTGCAGGGGACCTGTGGAGGCCTCGGCTGCAGACCCCGGCTGGCTGCTGCAGGTGCTCGCTGTTCTCTGCTCTGGAACTCGGCTTTGCACGGAAGGTCTTCACGGCCATCTTCCCGTGGCGTTCCCAGCACCGGGCAGGCGGGCCCGAGCGGGTCATGCCATGTTCTTTGTGTGCGTGTGCGTGGGGGGGGCACTAGGGACGGAACCGGGGACGCGCCCCACCGACTACGCCCCACGACTGGCCCACGACTGACCCCACGACTGGCCCACGACTGGCCCACGACTGGCCCACGACTGGCCCCACGACTGGCCCAGACTGGCCCCACGACTGGCCCAGACTGGCCCACGACTGACCCCACGACTACGCCCCACGACTGGCCCCACGACTGGCCCCACGACTGGCCCCACGACTGGCCCACGACTGCGCCCACGACTGGCCCAGACTGGCCCCACGACTGGCCCACGACTGACCCAACGACTGGCCCACGACTGACCCCACGACTGGCCCAGACTGGCCCCACGACTGGCCCCACGACTGGCCCAGACTGGCCCCACGACTGGCCCCACGACTGACCCCACGACTGGCCCCGACTGTGCCCCACGACTGGCCCACGACTGCCCACGACTGACCCCACGACTGGCCCACGACTGGCCCACGACTGACCCCACGACTGGCCCCGA